TTCCAATTGCTTCCGTTTTTCTTTTATTATTTTTTTTAATTTTTTTTACTTTCTTATAGGAAGTATTCACTGGACGCCATATTTGTGGGTTCTGTTTAGAGCGCGTGCCAGAACGAGCTCACATCAATAGGCTGCTAAGACCGGCACTCTCGATGGTGCGGAATGCAGGTTTCAAAAGAACTGTGGAAGCTCGCCATCAGCACGCGCTCGCCATCAGCGCGCGTGCCAGTGAATACTCCCTATAGTTAGGCACGTAGGCCAAGGCCATACTTTGTGCAAATATAGATAATTATCAGCTTCAGACAGCACGAACGGCCAGGCTCTTTTGCTGTTAGACGCGAGAAAGGCGGGCGCGAGCGTACCCGATTGCCGGCCGCGCGCCTCGCTGCACACAAGTGACGTTACACTTGGGCGGCGGGGAAAACTGAAGAAAAACTAGGGAGAACGATGTCTCAGTTTCGGCAGCAAACAAAATATCACTTTTTTAATTAACTAGAATGAATCTGGGAGAACGACATAGCTTTTCGGAATGAGGAAGCCATCCGCATTCAGATGATGCCTTTGGATTAGGCAGCTCAAAATGTCGGCGGAGTTCCCCTTTAAGCTGAGGAAAACGCGGTTCCTTTTTTCTTCCCCAAACAGCCGTTTCTTTTTTTCTTGTTTTTTCATGTGTGTGCGCGGCGGTTTTTCTACTTTTTGCTAGAGGCGTCGTCTGTATGCCAGTACGACAAGGGGGACGTCCGGCGGCGGGACGATCTCAAGTATTGGCAACTCCAATGAAGCGTCTAACGCCACTTACCCTTCGATCTTTCACGTTTAAAACATAATTTCCCATTGCCGCGACACCAAACATCCAGATGACGGATGAGTTTCAATTCGGGAGCAAGTCTTCTTTTGTAAGGAGAACTTGATTTGGACCAATAGTAGTGATTTAGGCGATACTATCGTGCGATAATATTTTTTTCTATTGCGTCGCTTTCTGAAACAATAAAATATTCTTAAAGTATGTCAGTCGATAAAAAGAAATATATTAAGTTTGTTTCGTGACTATAATTTATTATGCGAGTCACGTGCTTCACAGATTCTAAACTTCCGCTATTCGCGTGCTCGTCTCACTTTTGTGTAAAAGTTGTGATCAAAGATTTATAGATGTCAGCACTTGGGGCGCATGCATAAGGAACCTTCCTTCTTGTGCGTTATACATCTTAGAGTAAACGATAAACAACGGCACGCAAGGCCGCAAGAAGAAAGGAGCGCTGACGATCGACGAAATGGTTCTGCCGACGTCAAATTGCTAAGTTCTGCTCCCTTATGCCTCTCTGCGTCTCCGCTCTTCTTGAAGCAAAATAAAGGAAGGGTGTGAAACTTATATTTTTTTGAATGCGTTAGCATTAGAACGCTCGTTTTGGCGAAAACCCGGCGGTGCCTTTCGTTTGTCAGCGTAGGCGAGAGAGAAAGAGGGAGGGGAGAGGGTGACGCGTGCGACGCTCCCATTGGTCTGACGCGCTGACGTCCGTCAGCACGCGCCTACCTATCCCTCTTTCTCCGGCGCTGACAAATTGACGGACACCAACGGGTGTTCGTCAAAACGAGCCATTCCGTTTTCGTCAAAGTCACGCGCACAGGTGGCGCGGAGCCAGAAAGGAAGACGCGCCGCGGCGCGTCTGAATGTGGGCGTTCTCAGTTGTCGCTCTGCCGTCGCCGGTTGTTCTTCGCTCTGGGTTCCCGTAGTAGCGGCGCGTGGCTGTGATGTGTGTGTGTAAATGCGGTTCCATCCACAAGTGGTATGGATGTGCCCCTTTCAATGAGTGATATGGATGACCATATCCAAGACAGGAAGAGTACAGAAAAGATGTAGACAAAAAATTAGACCAGGATCCGTTAGTGGATTCTTAGGGAATGTGTTAGCATGACCCTTGGGAAACGCCACAGCTGACACTGACCCCGTAACGAGGCTGAAGCGATGCAGAAAATAATAGAGGAAGCAAAAAAAAAAAAAGCCAAAACAAAAAAGTGAAGGAGTCAGCGCAAGCGGTTCGTAAAGGGGACGTGTGTGGCTTTTCCCAAGGGTCATTCTCACGCGTTCCTTAAGTATCCACCAACGGATCTTCCTGTAATTGTTTTTATTCGAGAAAGGCGCGCATGCTAATAATTTGTGTTCGCGCGGGCTCTTGTGTGCGTGCTCGTGCGTGGGCGTGCTTGTGGGCAGTTTAAAGGAGCACCGCGATCCCGGTACAAACTCCGCTGTTTGACACATCAGCGGCTGCCGGCCTCGTGGATTTCACCCCCGACTAGCCATTTCTCTACTTGTTTTAAAGGATCCCTTTATTGCTTATTTTTTATTTTATTTTATACCATCACTTTTAAGGCAAACCAGTTCGGTACACCCCATGAACGACCCCCCCTCTCCCCCTTGCAGCCTGCTATTCTCCGGTCTGCTAAGTGTTCATCTCAGTTCCCATTTATTCCCTTTACAACAGTGCCATATAGTCCGTGTGTGCGTATGTAGGCGTTGAAAATGAAGTGGAGGGGGGAAAATGAGAGCCAACAGGGCGTATGTGCACAGCCATACAGTCCGTCTCACCATAACTTGGACAGCGAAAGCTAGAAGCACCTTTTCTTTTGCAATAGAATAAGGTTGGAGTATGCAAATAAAAACCATTTAAATCGTGATTTCAATCAAACTTGTCTTGAAAAAATAATCCCAAGAATATAATTTTTATTTGCCGTTTGTTTATCATTTGATGCTTTTTATGCGCATGCGTTTCGTATTTTAATAAAAGAATCATCGCATATGAAATACTTATATCCGTTTGGAAACGCGCAAGCTGCAGTGGTCTTCGGATCAAATCGAAGTTGGAGGTTTATTTCTATTTTTGTCTTCGTTCGTCAGTTTTTCAACATAGTTTTGCAAGCCAAACAAAACGCGAGAATAAAAAGGAAAAAATATTGATGTTGTTTCTCCAGCAAATCAGATCGCGACGAAGAAAAGGAATTACAGATTCATCACTAGCTAAAAAAACTAAGCTGTTTTTGTTATATTATGGCGGAGTTTAGATGAACAAAAAGTTGTTAACGTTGCAGTAATTCTTTCTTTCACATTTTCGTTACTGATCGGACGAACTGGTCAAACAATCTGCCGTGTTTAAAAATGCATATATTCATAAAAAATTAACATCTAGCTTCAGTGATTTAAATAAAATAAATGGGATATAAATTTAAAAACAAAAACAAAATCCTTTTTCTTTAATAATCACGCAGTGGTCATACACTAAGCAAGAAAACCGGAACAAAGGGACAGATATGACTCCCTTCGTGTCTGTTCTCTCTCTAAAAAAAGTGAAAGCCGTTTACAACTCCCTGTAACACCGAATTAGAGCGCAGCTCTTGAGGAGGAGGGAAGGGTACTGGGGGGGAGGGAATGAAGTGACCTGGGGGGGTCACGTGAAGATGACGTCACGTGACGTTATTGTCACGTGACATCAGCGACGTCTACAGTGACGTCACTGATGACTTCATCAGTGACGATGCGGATGCCGGTGACGTCATCAGTGACGATGACGTCATTGGGGAGGTCACGTGACCTCGCCGGGGGATCACGTGACCCTGGAGGCGGTCACGTGACTTTGGTTGTCACGTGACCTTGTGGGCCACGTGACCCTAGGGGATGGGTCACGTGACCTCTGGGGGTCAGTGACCTTGGGGTGGCCTTGGGGGTAATGTGACCTTGTGGTGATCTTGGGGGTCACGTGACCTTGGGATGACCTTGAGAGTCACGTGATCTTGGTGACGCCGACGCCGCTCAAAACCGGGAACGGGCCCCTAAGAGCTGTGCTCTAAAAAGTGAAAGCCGTTTACAACTCCTTGTAACGCCGAATTAGAGCGCAGCTCTTGAGGAGGAGGAGGGAAGGGTACGGGGGGGGGGGTCAACTCGTCGGAGGGGGGGGCCACGTGACCTTGGGGGGTCACATAAGGCCGATGACGTCATCAGTGACGATGACGATACGGATACCGATGACGTCATTAGTGACGTCACCGATGACGTCCCCAGTGATGATGACGATGCGGATGTCGGTGACGTCATCAGTGATGATGACGATGACGATGCGGATGGCGGTGACGACATCAGTGACGTCACTGATGACGTAATTAGTGACGTCACCGATGACGTCACCTGTGATGATGACGATGCGGATGTCGGTGACGTCATCAGTGATGATGACGATGCGGATGGCGGTGACGACATCAGCGACGTCACTGATGACGTCATCAGTGATGATGACAATGCGGATGTCGGTGACGTCATCAGTGATGATGACGATGACGATGCGGATGCCGGTGACGGCATCAGTGATGTCACTGATGATGTCATCAGTGATTATGACGATGACAATGCGGATGCCGATGACGTCATCAGTGATGATGACGATAACGATGCGGATGCCGGCGACGTCATCAGTGACGATGACGTCATCGGGGGTCACGTGGCCTCGGCGTGGGGATCACGTGACCTCATGGCAGTCACGTGACTTTGGGGGGTCACGTGACCTCGGGGAGGGGGAGTCACGTGACCTTGGGGTGACCTTGGTTACGCCGACGGCGACGCCGCTCAAGCCGGAAATGGGCGCCTAAGAGCTGCGCTCTAAAATAAAGTTTTAGTTCGTTCCGCTACCTACGATTACAATACCAGATAATCCTACGTCGCATTCGCAAAGGCGTCGGCAAAGTATCGGGCATCGTTATCTGGGTCATCGGACCGATATCCTAAACCTCCCTAGCGTCCGTTTCTGCACCGACCCGCTGTTTCTGACTTCAAGCAGTAACAATTGGCCAACCAATCCGAAGCTGCTCGCTGGCGTCTGCAGTCACTGCTGTAGGCCCTGATATAGATAAATGAGACGGAGTATCTACTTTTTAAGGATTTGTTTCTCTAGATTTTCGGTCGGTGTGTTCTATAGTTCTACTGTTTCTCAAATTTCTCTGTCTTTAATTCTTTGCAGGCGCAAGTTCGCAACCGCGAGGAACTTTCCAAAGGGTCAACATAATCTGTAGAATAGACGCCGTAACACGTTTGTATACGCATTGCACTACCACTTTCCATAAAAATAAAGGCTGTTCGTGCGCGTGCTCAAATTAATAAACGTATGGATGGATGGATGGATGAATACGGCTGAGCCCTTTGGATCGGGCGGTAGCTTACGCCACCTAGCCATTTTGTTTTACCATTTAAGCTTAGAATATTTAAATGTGAAATCTATATTCACTCCGCAGAGCAAAGAAAGTGAGGCTATGAAACCCCCTTGCCATTCCAACGTATTCCAAAATACAAAGCGCCTCATCGCGGCGTAATGCAACATTACGCATTCTGTGAATCAGTGGGAAACAAAACTCATACGCGGTCCGCTCCTGGCCCACATGTTCCCAGAAGTGAACGCGCGCGGTGACGCATTAATGGAAGTAGTTTATTGGCAGCGAGATTTTAGAAACGGCGTACCACATTTCCTTTGAGGCGAGATGATTGAGATTTTACGCATGTTGACTTTATTTCCCGAATTTTTTTTTATTTTTTTGATATCTATATTTATATATTAATTTGTGTGATCTATTCGGAATTATGCTGATTTGTAAAGTTGTACACTTATGGTTAAACGATCATTCTTTTTATTTTCGTTTATTGATTGTTTATTCAATATGGGGTGAGGAGAAAAAGGGAAGCACGTGTCCGGTGGCCAAGTATGTTAGTGCATCGAAAAACCTCAGCTTGGCGCACGTGAGGCGAAAGTTCGCGCTGAAGAACTCTGTTGCTGGAGGTCCTGCGCCTGATCCCCGCACCTGCTCGTTTCGATCCGGATCAGCATCGTTCCAGGGTGCGTTCGTGCATTACCACTAAACGCAGACCCACATAGGCCGTATTCTCGACGAATTTACGCGCGTTTCAGCGGCTGTAATCTCGGAAGTTCGCGGGCGCTTTTTTTCTTTTACAGAGGGAAGAGGTGGAGGTCGGCCAAACCAGACTCGGCGCTTTTCGTCAGCGTCTCCTTGGCGTTTGGTGCAAAGTGGCCCGACTCGCGCTTTTCGTGAAACGAGGCAAAATGTAAATCGGCTGCTATATTATCACTTTCCGCAAAAAGACAGAAATCACTGAATGTTCATCAGCAACGAAGGCCTAACCTGCTAACGATCGTCTCAAACATGCACGTACCTTGCAATCTCCAAGTTGCTAATAAGACCCGATAGGAGGACGGCCACGATCTCTCCTCAAAACCTTTTTTTTTTTTTCAATTTTTTTTTTCATATCGCTTGCCACATAGATGTTTTTTTTTTTTTTTTCTTTTCTCTCACTTGTTTATAGCTCGGTCGAAAGAAATATAGCAATTTCGTACAGTTCGCCGATAAACCGGTGAACGCGACAAGCGAGCGCCCATTTCGGCGGCTGAGTCAAGCCAGTCAGCCGTCCGCAAAGCCGGGTAAGCCAATCCTCGAGCAACTTCCGGCTGCTGATTGGCCGGCACCGCGCAGTACGCTTCTGGATACGCCACGCCGAAACACGCCGGGGCGCCGAGGTCTGTCTCGGGCGGATCGCCGAATACGCACGTATTTACGCCGAACTTCAGGCGTCGAGGAAGCGCTCGTCCCGACACCCGCTGTATACGCGTCGGGATTTCGTCCGCCAAGACTCCCGCAATTACGCCGAAAATACGCCCTATGTGGTTCAGGCCTTTAACGTACAGTTTTCTTAGTTATATAATAGTTTTCCAAAAGTCTGTCAACTGTACTTTGTTTCATCATGAGTAAGAGCCGCATAATCAAAAGTGTGGACAAAAAAAAAAAAAAAAAGAATAAAAAAACACGCTACGATCAAGCAGATAGTAAAAATGAAATGTCACGGCGCATTCGAAATTATTTGTTGGTTTTTTAGAAAGGAGGAGTTGCAAGGCGGCATTGTTACCCGTTGTGTATTATAAATGTAGCCAGTGCGGTACAACTGTTAGATCGGGGTCTTTAACGTGCATCACGTACTAGTGATACACGATCGCACGCCAGTGTGCGCTGGCCCACTGGGCTACCGACCTTTTGGATCGCGTCAGGCATGTGTACCGACGCACACTACACTGTTAGCGAAAATGTAATATTTCGCCTGTTTACACCCCATTTTCACTCGTTAGCATATTTTTACACGCTCTGCTAGTGATAAATCGTCAAAAAATTACTTGGGGTAGTAAAAATTGGTGTTTCGGTTTCGGTTTACACCACTAGGCGTGTAAGCAACACTGAAAACACCCCAGCCCAACACCCCAAAGCAGCGAGCGCCATGTTGCTTCTGCCTTGAAGCGGTACGGCGGACGTAGCAGCCGAAGGTGAGTGTTTGATTTTTTTTATCAAGTTTGTATAGAATGTAGCACGTCTCAGATTTTTATTACATGACATTCAAGAACGTTAGATTTGCTTTGAGCAAGCCGGCTCAGGCGTTTAGCCACCCCGTCGATTGGAAACGACTCGACTGCTCGCCGGTTCTTTTGCGCGAGCTTTCGCTCGGGCGCTGTGAACCCTATGAACTGTGGTGCTCTAAGCTAGCACAATTAGGCACGGCTAGCGTCCCGGTGGAAGCTGCAGAGAGCGGAAACCGAAGACACCGTCGCATAAGAGTGGCGAAGCCGCGATCCTGCGCTGATCGTTGTCCCGCCGCTCTCTCCGGCAATATCGACACTTCGCTGCTGGGTGTCTCGTATTTCGACGTTTTAGAAAAACTTGGCAAGCGCGAGGAGTCTCTATATCGTTTTCTCCGTCGCCTGCGTGGAGGAAACACGGTGGCGATAGAAACATATGCTCATGCAATCAGTCAACTTGGACAATCCCCCTGTTCCCTCAATCCTATCGCATTCTTTGACTGCGTTTGTGACAACAACGTTTCCCCAGTGTGAAAGCTTTCAGTCACAACGGGCTACAAACTGGGTTGTGCATTGCATGTAGCCCTGAGGGAATTCTTCGCCGGAGACACCAGCACATTAGTTTCATTGGTGAGGTGACCGGCCACTAACGTGTTTGGCAAATGAAGCGATCACGGGTAAGTAGTAATGCAAACAGTGTTGAATGAATATTAAGGTGGTTGTAGCCAGAGCCTGCCAGTTGAAATCAACCTTTAACAATATAGTCTGCGGTAACTTCATTTTGCACTTAGGATTGCAATTTTAAACACAAAGCCACTCCACATAGCTGTCGAAAATCGTGTAAACAACAGCAGTCATCGTCCCCGGTTCGGATGAGCGAAGCCTTAGCTTGATGAAAAGAATGGCGGTCTATACTTCTTGGTTGTTTCAATCACAACCTCGCACAGCTGAACAGACAAACAAATCAAGGAAATATATTCCGCGCTGGCTTGCAAATCACAGCACACAAGCAGGGTACATAGCAGAGCAGAAAACACTGGCAATGAGCACACGGAGGCATGCAGCTTCCTTTCTTTTTCCCTCGGCGAATGATTGGTTTGCTGCAGCATTCCGTAAGCACGTCGACATTCAAAAGTTGAGCCTGATCTGTCTTGCAGTGCCTTGCGGAACGGCAAGTATCGCCCACCATTCCACAAGGCACTGCAGGACTCGCAAATGTGTGAACAGTGCTTTGCAATAAAGGCCATGATCGGGCAGCAGGTGCCCATTTAAAGACATTTAATATTGATTGGCATTGAACTAACCTTTGGGCTTCATCACGTAGCAAGCATGGGTGAGGTATAATTCAAGAACATTTAATGTTCGACGAGTTTAATACGTTGTGGTGCTTTCCCATCTGTTTCGGTGTCACGGAGTGGGGTTCAAATTAATAAAAATAATTCAATGATCCACTCTGAGAATAAACGAGAAATTACGGGAAAAGAACAAGAGAGCTAAGTTCGACCATTGACTAGCGCTAGGTCCACGTCTGGTGTATAATCAGTAGAGAAAGATGATGACACAGGGAGGATAAGCAAACAAAAGGTTAGATTTAATAAAGTGAAAAACTAAGCTGTACACGGCAATAGAGCACTCAACACAAACCACACTCCAGCTCAAGGCTATGGAGCCCTGCGAGCCAGAAACTAATACTAAAAAGACTCGACGCTCATAAAACCGGAATAAGCCAACAAAACAGTGACGAAAACCCGACACTAACAACGAGAGCAAACCGAGATGGAGCTCGAACGTTACCGCTACACACATGGGATAATCCCCCAAAACAGTCGCGACAGAAAGTAGCACTGTGTAAAAATCTTCCCAACATTCAACAATTCGTACTTCAGAGCCAGAGAATGCAGTAGACAAGTCCTAGAAAACCGGGCTTAGCTTTCCGGTAGGTGCCGAGTCCAGAGCAGTCCGTAGTCTGGAGTTGTCGGCCGAAGAACGGCGTCTCGAAGTCCAGCGGTCCAATTAGAGGCTTGATGAGGTCGACACCGCGCACCACACAGCCACACACGCTTCAGCACAACAAACTCAAACACTTGTCCGACAGGCAGGGCAGAAGCCAAAAATTACACGTTCCAAGACTCATCTGCAGGGAGTAACCACGTTGAGTAGCGACCCGGCCAGCTCTGGGGTTGGACTACCTTCTTTGTTCCCGAACCCCCTTTTATAGGCTCGTCTACCGACCAACCTCCCGTTTCCCCGTCTTTCGGGTCAGTCAACTTTCAAGAAAAACAAAGCTACACAGCAACGACCCAAACGGCAAAACCTATTACATTTTTCAGACAACCAAACATATGTGCCCATCCATTCCCCCGTACGAGTCCAAAAACATCAATTATCACCGATACATAGAACACGACAGGCGGCAGACTGAGCAAAGCCGCCGCCTTCAAAAAGCGTGCTAGCCAGCGTAAACATCTTTGTATCCCGGCGGCGCCCCTGCATGTCAAATCGGCACCATACGCGAGCCAGCATACGCACCCCTCCGTCCGCGAGGTCAAAGCCACAAACTGTGACCTGGGATGATCTACGTCGCCCGTTAACAAAAACCCATTCCGCAAACGAGCAAATTCGTTGGGGACTTAGAAAGGAACTACGACGGGACGAACTGAGATT